TATATATAAAATTTCAATCATTTGTTTCAGCTATAAATTCATTAAGATTTCACAATTTCAATAAGATTTCACAATTCTCTTAAAGACTAGTCAATGTTCGATTTCATCAAATACTTTATGTTATATTAGAACATCATAAAAATGTGATTATCTCATCTATGAAATAATATATATGTTTTTCTGCTACAAGATCTTATCTGAAAATTTATCTAAAGAAGTTAAATATAAAATAAATGAGATTGAAATTTTAGTATAAATTTCTTAGTATTTCTTATAATATCAGATANCGATATTTTATTATAAAAAACATTTTATATTATTAATGATTATAAAATGACAAAAAAGCTTAATCTTAACGATAGGAATGAGTTTCACAAAAAAAAATTGTAAATGCTAAAAAAAATGGGGTTCGGGCATGGTCAAGGGGCTGGAGTTTTCTTGATTTTCTTCACGTTAGTAACACTTAAACTCCGGAAACCGCAATAAAAGCACAATTTACGAGCGAAATAAAAGCACGTTCGACTCCAAACAGAAACACAATCGAACTGCGAATCATTTTTGACGAATTTCGAGCAAACGTTAAAAGACGCGTCAACAATGTTCGAATTTCGTAAAAATTAGAATTTAAAAAGAATCAATTTTATTAAATAGAGTCCAGCTTCTTATAAAAGTCTTCCCGGGATGCATCCCTTTCGGCATATCGCTTACGTGTAGCATTGCCCTATCCAAATAAACCAAACTAATTCTATGACGAGCGATTATTTATTGTGACATCGTCACATTGTTCTCGACGACTATAAAGTACAGAGCAAGACCTTTAGTGGTGTCTTGCTCTGTACTTTAAAGTTTTCTTGTTGGCAATAGAATCGTGTCGGTTATCTATTTAACTTCGTTCGGGGAAAATTTTTGAATTGATGTAACGTGACTTCCATTCGAAACCGGAAGTTCTATAGGTAATCTGAACCTCCTGCTCCTGAACATATCTGGTCTCGTCTATCTAACACCTTTCTCGAGATTAAGGAAAAACAGACAAACACACGGATAAACAAGGGGCATCAGTCGGAATTTATAGGTCTACAATTTTTTCAAATTGCAGCCTGATAATTTTTCTATAAACGCGATATTTACTAAACATACTTCCCACATACTTTGTACAGTTTGTTGCAAAAACGTAAACACTTTTTTATCACATAAAGGTAATTATTATCGCATTTTACAAGATTTTTTTGATTTAAACAAATCATATGAAGTTTTTCGGAGGTAAAGGTTAACAACTTCGATCATGTGCGCGGCCATCACAACCTATCCAACACGGATCACTTTTCACTTATTAACAGTAGACAGGTATTAATAGTCGTTGACCACTTTCTCTCCCAGCCAGGAGGTGGTCAACGACTACTTTTGGTCGAATTACTTCGACCGCCTTCTGCAACAGTCTTCTTTCTATCGGACAAGCGGTATGGTGGCATTCAAATAGGAAAATTACATAATACGAGGTTACCGGCCTGCACAAAATGTATTTTAAGTGGTTTTTCGAGGGTGCCAAGTTTAAATATATGATTAAATATATAGAAGGATTAGAAGTACGAAATCTAATAATCTTAACCTATGATGATGTTACTTTTTGCCCGGGCAACGCCGGGCTCATCTGCTAGTTAAAATAAAAACCTAAATTTTAAATAAATACTCTTAGCTTACGAGTGGATACAGAATAATAATCACAAGTCATGAGTTTATTGCTACTCATAGAACAGTACTGTATATTGTTTCTAACAGTAGGTCTACTGTTATCAAAAACAATAGGCATAGACCTACATTTGTTACATTGTACTGAGCTATAATCAAAACAAAAACATAATAAACAGAAGCATAAATATAATAAAAACAAAAAATTAATAATTATATTATGATAGATAAAAATTTTTAAATGAACATGCTGTAAATATGAAAATGATAACTATATACATATAGACTATATGTTTCATGTAAATATTATATATATGTATATTCTAAATGTAGATTTAAATTTTGGAGTGATAATCCTTTGAATTTTGTATTCGCTTGTGCCTTTCTTGCAATGAATATTTTGTTGGGGTAAACAATATACAGTAAATAATAACAAAAATAAAAACTTTGATAACAGCTGTTAAATGTGTAATGAAATTAATTTCCAAGTAAATTTCTTAATTGAAATATTCAAATAATATAAGATGATTGTTTGACTAGACGTGATACTCATTGTGAAAATATTTACCTTCCAAGCCTATTGTCAAAATTTTGGCTCTACCTTCCCGTCTAGACGCCAAATTATTTTTAGCTGAAACCCATTCCACATTGCTAATTGAAAGAACAATGGTACTCTGGTGACAACTTCGTCTGGAAGTGTGACAGTTGATTTCACCGAGAAACTTACTGAAGTAGACACCTGAATGACTACGTTAATTGTAAAGTTGTAAACATATAGAGAGAAATATTTTAATTTAAATTAATAAGGTGTCAATTATTTATATACAAGAACATTATTGTGTCGGAGACAATACACTTATAACACGTGAACTAACATAACAGATTAACTTGCTCCACATAATTATGATTACATGATTAATGATACAAGGAGTACATTGAAGCTAACTGACCGCCATTTTTACTTTGCCTTCGCATCACCTCGAATGCCGGATGTTATCCTCTCGATACACTACAGTTTCTTTTCTTCTCATAAAAATCATAGCCCTGATATTTAGTCGGTTTCTTATGCAGGCATTTTGGATAACGTGGTTTATCTGCCGGCGCAGAACTCTGATTGTCATTAGTCTCGTTCTTGTTTTACTTCATTTCTGACCCTGTCTCGCTCTCCTTCTCCACTGACACCCCCCTCTTTCTACTCCCGATGACTCCTCCACTGAACGTACAGTACGTGATGTGTTATCCATATTTAATACTGTTTCTTGAGGAAAATAACTATATTGAGTTGTCTCTGCTTGTTTATCTACCATTTCCATTGACGTGCTATGCATTTTCCATTTTCATTTGCCAAAGTAACTTTGAAATTTCGTCCACTTCCACTCAAACAAATCAAAGTAACACAATCAAAGTAAACATCCCAATTCTAAACTAAGATCCGTTTTTCGTTCAAAAAAAATAATAATAAATAAATATGTAATGTAAAATGTTAAACTATGTTCCAATCACTTGATCACGTCTCAACACTTCATTCAACAAAGGATCTCTTTTCGTTTCCTTTTCCACTTCTTTTTCGGGCAGTGTTTTTTAATTAAATTTCTGAATCATTAAAACATGACATTCATTCTTCAATGTCCTTAACGTCCTGTTCTGCTACTTCAGAGGCAACAACAATTTCATAGACTGTCTAATAATACGCCATCCAGTTCTTGCAAGTCTTTCCTGAAACTTTTAATCTTCGTCACTAATTTCTCTTGTATCGTGGACAGTACACTGAAAATATACGAACTAACATAACATTTATTTAGACAGATAACTTGGTCCACATATATTATCAATGATAGAACGGGTACATTACGACTAACAGGCCTCTGTCTTTACGTCGTCTTCGCGCCACCTCGAATGCCAGAATGTTATTCTCTCGCTACATCACAAAAGTAATGATCTAGATATTGATCTAGGTTATAAGATTTACTATAGTCTATAATAATTGTATATTATAATAATAATTTATTGAGGTATATGTGTATTGTTAATTATTTACGTATTTTAATACCTTATTTTTTGATTATAATTATTATTCATAAGAATTCTGTGATTTATGGGTGTTTATTAGTTTGTATGCATACAGTATAGACTTGTAAGGATTTAATCGGATTTTTTTTTCATTTTTTGTATTCTTAAGCTTCCAAAATTTTGAAGATATGATTTATCGCTTGAGAAGTTTATGTTTAACATATGCAATCCCGGATTTAGGATTCTAGGCGAACCGGGCCTAATAGGCTTTGGCACCCCTCCGTCACAGATCCTATGTATAGTACCTTATATTAAAATTTATAAGACATTTACGTTGCTGCATACCACTCTATTATAACTTAAACTACTTCTTCAATGTATTTTAAATGTATAATTATTCAGTTAATAACAGTTTTACTATAAATGCATATACTAATAAGAGAAACATAAGGTATTAGGTCCAAAATTTGGTATCAGTGCCAAGCGATTCCATTTATAAATTTGACATTGAGCAATAGGATGACAAAAACAAATCAAACACGAAGATTTACATTGTTAGTCTTTTTTCAACAAAAAATTCAATTCCCATCTTCTGTCTAAGTAAATAAATAAATAGACTCATTAACAAATTCTGTCGTAACAAAGTTAGTGAACTAAACACATCGTCATAACTCTGATGCTGATCATACAGACCATTCAATAATCGAAATTTGAGTCTAGTAATCAATTTTTAATTTGCTATTTGTTTCATATTTTTAATGATTATAAATTATAAATATTAGTAATATATAATAATATTAACAGTTACTGTAATAGTATATTTTAATGAAATGTGTACCGATATGTATTTTATCTGCCGATGGTTATTACAAGCTCCTAATTCTATAAAAGCAAGCAACTTAAAAAAAAACTATGATAAATGCTATTTATCTTGTGAGATTAGTTTCAATATAGATACAAAACTTCTAAATCATCAGCTTCATAAAATTTTATAAAGGATTCAAATTGAATTAATTTTATTGTAAATATTTCTAAAATATAGGAATTATCGAAGCTTAATTTTAAATTATTTTATTATAAATAAAACTTTTTAAATCTAAATTAACAGATGCCGAAATTTATGCTAAGCCCATGGTTTTATTTGTTGGTCCTTGGAGTTCCGGAAAAACAAGTGTCATCAATTATCTTCTAAATACAGAAAGAACTTCCGCAGCATTGAAAACAGGTAATATCAGCATCGTTAAACAGATATTATTCAGATGAATTTAAATATGCAACGTTCAAGTTGACTATTTATAATTTAGGTCCTGAGCCTACAGATGTAGACTTTACGTTAATCAAACATGGCGAAGAACCGTTGACAATGGCCGGAAGCGAACTCCTTGCTGATTGGGCGTTTTCCAGTGTCCAAAAATTTGGTCAAGGTTTTCTTGAGCATTTCAAAGGAGTTCAATATCCTCACAGGTTATTACAAAAGGTAAATTCGAATATATTTCAATATGAATAATAAACAATGAATCTTATTAAATACATCAGTTCCTTTCAGAAAATTCCTTCTCCATTATTTTTATTTGATAAAAGAAAATCTTTAATCAAACAAAAAATAACTTTTTATTTAAAAAAATATTTAAAAAATTAATTAAAAATATTTTTAATTATAATA